TTTAAGCCAAGACTGATCAAAGAGAGTCAAAGAAGATCACTACATACTTGTCAAGGGAACAATCCAAGATGAAGAGATAACAATCACAAACATATTTGCACCAAATACCAGTACACCCAACTATATAAAATAAATATTAATGGACATGAAAAATCAAATAACTACCAATACAATTGTAATGGGAAACTTAATACCCCACTGGCACAAATAGACAGCTCAATTAGACAAAAAAAAATCAACAAATATCAAAACTGAATATTTGCTCTTTGAACAAATGGACTTAGTATATATCTAGAGTATTCTACCCCACAACATCAGAACATACATCCTTCTCAGCTGCACACAGACCTTCTCCAAAACAGAAATATACTAGCTCATAAAACATGCTTAATTAAATGCAAATAAAGTGAAATTATCCCATGCATATTATCAGGCCATAGTGCAAAGAAATTGGAAATAAATGGATGAATGGATAAAGATGTGGGATTTTAGCCAGGCATAGTGGCACATGCCTATAATCCCAGCACTCAGGAGGCTGAGGAAGGAGGATTGCTGTGAGTTTGAGACCAGCCTGGGCCACATAGTGAGTTCCAGGTCAGTTTTAATTACACAGTGAGACCCTGTCTCAAAAAAAAAAAAAAGATGTGGAATTTTTATATAGTGGAGTATTACACTGCTATAAAGAAGGATAAACGAGACATTTTGAGGTAAATGGAGGCACCTTGAGACCATATTCTTGAGAGCTTGTTTGGAGGTTCTAGCAGGGAAGCACAGCTACTCGTATACCCTTGACCGAGGAAACGGTCCTCCTCTATCGAGGTAGGTCATCCTCTTTGACCAAGTGAGCAGCTTCAGGAGGGATGAACACGGAGTGGTGAGGGAGAAAGGGGACACCCACGTAGTCAGCCAGGTCAGCTGAATCAACCCTGGTGATCAGTGGGGTGGCAGATGTTACAGCCAGATCGCCCTCACATCCTAGAGACCATACTCTTACATGAAATATATGCAACACACATGTTTAAATATCACATTGTTTCTCTCATGTGAGAAATGGAAAGGGTAAATAAGGATCAAAATGTATAATAGTATTGAGAAATAGGAAAAAATGTTCTAATGGGAACATTTTTAGTGACTTTATTGATTTGTTCTTGGATTTTTACAATTTCCCTTGTTTCTCTAGCTTTAAGTTTGGATTACTATTGTTTTGTAGGAATTTGAGGTATACTGTTAGCTTATTTTTTTAGCTTTTTGTGATGTGGGCATTTACCACTATAAATTTCCCTCTCAGAGTTGCTTTTGCTTGTATGTTGTATTGGCATTATTATTTAGTTATAGAAATTATCTTATTCCATTGATGATTTCTTTCCCAAATCTTATTTTAAACCTGGGGTAATTAAATGTATTATTGGCTCAAGGATAGACAAGTAAAACAGTAAAACAGTAATTCAGAAACAGAAACATACCTACACAGATTTGGCTTATGAGAGACAGCACTGCAGATTAATAGGTAAAAGACAGTCCTTTAATAAATTAATTAATTAATTAAGTATAAATTATAATGGAGCAGTTGGATATAAATTGAGAATAAAAGTCAATGAACCCCTATCTCACACTATATGTAAAAATCGGCTCCAGCAGGACTGTAGAGTTAATTATGAAAAACAAAGCAATAAAGCTTTTAGAAGAAAACACATAATGGTGCACCCACCCCCATCCAGGCCTCCCAGCCATGATCAGACTAGTGAGGACCAGAACTACACAGGCGCCTCCAGCACCAACAAAGGGTGCCCCCCTGCCCCACTTCTCCTGGCTGTTCTGTACCTGGATCCACACTGCAGAGGCATGGGGCATTTTAAAGATAGAGCAGAGGTGAAGATCGGTAAGAGGGCCTTACTCCAAGTCCCTATCCTGAAGGGTTACTATACTGAACAGTTTATTCACTATAAACGTATTTTAGTCTAGTCCTTGATTTTCATTTGTTTCACGTGGTTGATAGATTAATAACTGCCACAAATTGTCATCTTCTAAGCTGTGCTCAATTCTATTGTTGTTGCTGATTTTATCACTTGGCCTAGTGTTGTGATTGTTTTAATCGGATATCTTTAACAAAAATGTGATTGCTTCAGTGTCAATAGAGACTCCAAACCTTAAGACCAGCTATATCTGGAGAAGCAATCATTCCATAAAGGTTCTAAATGCAAGCCACAAAGATACTTACAATAAGCAATATTGAAGTATCAACCCAGGGATTAAACCAAAGACTGTACCAACAACAATAAAAGAAATTAAAACATTTAAGCAAGACAGTCTTCCAGCTTACCAAAGGCAAATTCTGGGGGAATCAATCTGCAAAAGTCTGATAATCATTCACCTGGACACCCTGAACTGATACCATGGGAAGTAACAAAACAGGTGAGGCTCCAGAAAAATTCAAAACAGAAATAATTTCCCAGATAGCTAGAGATGATGAACAGAATAAATGACATGATTAGAGTCTCTAGAAGAGAAACAGATTTTAAAAAACACGGATGAGTTCAGGACCATGATGGAAGATATGAATGAAAGAAATGGAACCCATGAAACAGATTCAAACTGCTAACTAGGAGATTAAAAACTCTATTAAAAGTATGCATAGCAAACTAAACCAATATGAAGATAGAATATCAGATATAGAGGACAGGATGGTAGTCAGTGAACATGAAAAGTGAGATCTCTTAAAAGTAGTAAGGGACCATGACAAATCAATCCAACAGCTCCTAGATGACCCAAAGAAGAATAATGTAAGATTGGCTGGAGTCCACAAAAAAGCAGGAAAAAATAAAAATGATATTAAAAAACTGTTCACAGAATCAGTGATAGAAAACTTCCAAAATAGAGCAAAAGAATTTGACATACAGATAAGTGAGGCATAGTGGATTCCAACTAGTTGTGATTAGAAAAAAAAAAAAAAAAAAAAAAAAAAAAAAAAACTACACCTAGACATATAATAGTCAAGATCCTGGAAACCCAACAGAAGTACAAAATACTACAAGCAGTTAGAGAAAAGAAACAAATCACATGAAAAGGAAAGCCCATCAGAATCACAACAAATTTTTCAACACAAACCCTCAAGTCAAGGAGAGCCTGGAGTGAGGTATTTCAAGCTTTAAAAGAAAATAACCTCCAACCTAGACTGATGTATCCTGCAAAACTATCTTTCAAAATTGATGGAGAAATAAGGTATTTTCATGACAAAGAATGCCTGAGAAACTTTATGAATACCAAACCATCACTCCAAACAATTTTTTTAAATATCCTAGAAAAAGACAATGCAGGTTACAACTTCATGAGGCCCAAAAGAGCAAATCCAATAGGTAAGAATTTAAAGGGAGAGGGAGAAAAATAAGAAAAGAGCAGCAACAGGAAAATAACATGGCAATGATAAGCCAATACATATCAGTTATAACTATCAATGTCATTGGCCTCAATTCACCAATCAAAAGAAATGTTAATACAACACACGTGTATAAATACCAAACAGTTTCTCCAGTGTGAAAATTTGGAAGTATAAAAAAGGATCAAAATGTATAATTGATATAGTGTAATAGGAAGAAAAGTTCTAAAGGAGTAGGGGAATTGGGTAGGGTAGGGCAAAGGTAAGAAGGGGAAAGAAAAATATGAGAAAAAGAAAAACATGGAAACAAAGTTTTTGTAAATAGGTACGGTGGAGGAGGTGAAGAGAGGGAAGCGGACTAGGGAAAAACTAAGAATTCAAATACTTTATGTAAAGGTACAAGATCCCAATGGTTAATGTGAGTGCATTGTATACCTAAAATGTACCACTAACTTAATGAAAAGAAAAAAAAAGAAAATGCAGTAGATCTTCATGATTTTGAGATAGAAAATAATTTACTGAACAAGATGCAAAAGCCAATATCTATATTGAAAATGACTGATAAATTTGACTGCATTAAATTAAGAATTTCAGAGTTTGTCATAAGACACTGTATCTCAAGTGAGAAGGCCAAGCTATAAAATTACAGAAATTATTTGAAAAACATAACTTCAGAATAGGTTAAGAATGCCTATAAATCAGGTTTAAAAAGACAGAAAAAATGAAATGGGGAAAAAAAGAACATTCATAAATAGTTCACAAAGAATAAATCTAAAAGGTTACTAAACATGTAAAAAGAAGTGCCCCAAATCATTAATAATCAAGGAATGAAAATTAAAACTGCTGCAGAATATCACTACCATATGAATACATCACATTGTTAAAACATTAAAAGGTCTGGCCAGAATATGATGGGAGTAAAACTGATCCTTGGGAAATATCCCCAATGACCTAGCAATCCCTAGACTAGAGAAACTTGTATACATGTACACCAAGATGAAGTTAGGTACCACTTACACACATGGCTGTGGAAACCAAAAAAGACAATCCAAGTATGCATTAGCAATACAATACATAACACTAACTGTGTTGTATTACCACACAGGAAAGATAAAGAGGGATGAAAGTGACAGCCAGACATGGTAGCATGCATGACAGAAAGATCTTGAGTTCAAGGCCAGCCTGGGCACTTAGTGAGACTTTACACCCCACCCCCCAAAAAGCAAGAAATACAAAAGAAAGGAAAAAGGAAAGCAAATGACAGCTGCCAATAGTACAAATGAATCTTACAAATATGTTGACAGAAATAACGCATGAAATATGATTCTATTTATATAAAGATAATGGCAGTGATACTCATGACAGTCAAATTGCATAGAAGGTCATAAATGATCACCTGAAATTGAAGGTAGTAGTTTCCTGCGTGGGGATGGAAGAAAACTATCACCCTGAAGGAAACCAAGGAAGCTTCAGAAAGGCTAGCTATATTTTATTTCTTGACCTTGTCTTAAAACACAAGTACTTGCCTTATAATTAGCCATACTATTGTACATCCATTTTATGTACTTTTCTGCACGTATATTTCACAGTTTTTTTAAGGTTGAAGAAAGGAGAAGGAAAAAATTACCTGACCCTGTAATTGCCAAGATCTCTTTCATTTCTGATTCTCTTGGTTTGGTTTGGTTCGGCTTCTTACAGATTCCAAAGCAGAAAGTTGTCACTAGTTGTCACTAGGTTAAAAGGAGAACTTACAGGAAACAAGGAGACTTTACATCATCTGTCAGAGTCAACAGGTAAAGACACCTACCTAATTACTCCCACTTAACAGGCACCACTTAAGATTCAGCTTCTCCAGGAAAGCTGAAAATAGCTAAGAATCACCCCCATCCCAAATTGCTCTCTTAGCTCAGTAGGGAGGAAGAAGCAATTCCATTTCTAGGGACAAGGTATGTGTGAATTTTTCCCAGTAGTTCTAGAAGCCAGAGGCCAAGCCCTGACCCAAATTCCACCCAAATGCCAGTTGAACACCCTTGTTTGAGAAAGAAAAAGTAATAACCTCTTCTCAGTAACAGATTCTGTTTAATGCTTTACAGAGACATTTGAATAAATAATAAACCAGCTATCCAAAGCAGGATGCCAAAATCTTCAGCTCCTCTTTCAGCAAATTAGGTGTGTGTCAGAAGCCTGGGTCCTGACCGCAATCTTCTATTACTCAGAAAATAGAATAAGATGGACTGATTCAATCAGTAAATAATTATTAAGCAAATGGTACAGACTTGGCCCCTGTAATAACAACTGAGGTAACAACATTGAAAGATAAGCTCCTACCAGAAAAGATACTTCAGAGGACAATCACACACAAACAAGTCATTAACACACAGTGAGAATGATGATTTATACAGACTTCTAAGTGCACGGACAGCACCAGAAAAGCAATTAAATCAAAGAAATCATAATCAAAGAAATAACATGTTTGCTGATCCAAGAATGTTTGAAGATGGTCGATTGATTGGATGGAAAGTCATAAACTTTTAAAACTCTTACTCTAATGCCTTTGAAATCTCTGACAGATGCTAACAAGACCCCTGTGGACAGAATTCTTTCTGATGATATCTGTGCAACACGAAAAACAACCTATTGAATAATTCTCAGTAGTACGTTTGCTATTTCCATTTTTGTTATTTTACTAAGTTTATGAGTCAATCAGTTTGACGGTAGATTTAAATGGTTTTCTAATGGCTAAGTTTTAAAGGCGGGACTTGAAGGGGAAATTTCATGGAGTCAAAAATATCCTTCAAGAAAAATCCTATTTCCTTCATATGTCACAGTATATATTAATTTATGCATATATAAACATATATAACGGTTCTTAGGCACATTTAAGTACAAAGCCACAAAGCTAGACTTAAAAAAAGGAGAGGGAGAGTCTCACTAAAAAGGTCTTGGTTATGGAATAGTTCTTCCTTTAGTAATGACTATTAAGTTCCTAACAATGAATGGAAGATGGTTGGAGAATTCTGCAGTGTTCCAGCTTGAGTGCTTGGTATACTCCGTGCTGTTTTAACTTTACCCTCTCTAACTTTGATTGTGTGTTACTGAAAGTTAATCTTGAAGAGGACTGGATTCTAAAGTCAGCATGTGATGATATATGCAATGTCTATGCTAATTTTCCTTGTGAGTACAGGGTAAAGAAGAGTCATCTAAGTAATATTTTCCCTATCACTTCCATGGAATGATGGTAGGTTGGTGCAATTAAAGTCCATTTCTGGAAAGAGATGCCTATCCCCTGAAGAAAAAAAAATTAAGTAGATGTAAGACACTTTATATCTACATGACTCAGAAATATTAGAAGAGTGGAGGAGCTATTTCAACTCCCAGCCAAACGGTAAAGAATGAGACATAAAGTAAGAGTCTGTGTTCGAATCTCAGCTCTGCTATTGAGAAAACCATTTTACCTTTTTGTGGTCCATGTTTATCTACTGTGAATGGAGGCTTGCAGTAGACTTTCAAACTATGATCCCATCTAATTCTAATAACCTCAGCCAAGTCACTCAATCTTTCCATGCCTCAATTTCTTCATTTGTAAAATAAGGGTAATAGGAGAGGACCCTCAAGTTTTGACCAGCCTGACATACAAACAACTTGGGTTAATTAGTTTGATAGAAGATTCATCTGCCCATTGTTATCTGTAGCATGGACCCAGGTAAACATGCAGATTGTATTGACTTACAACCCACTCGAGTTACAACCAGTCCTCAAGAACTGATCAAGTTCACAAGTCAAGGGTCCACTGTAGTTTCTAGATCCAAGAATACTGCAAAGATTACATGTTTTGAAAGAATAAATGAATAATTATATGAGAGAATTATCTAGCAGTAAAATCAGTCACCACGTAAGAATATTATTCCTACTGTTATTAGGCTGTGATTCTTTCCTCCTCTGATCTGAGATTCGGAGTGCAGAACCCAAGAAAGTATATCAGAAGTGACAACATGGCTCCCAGTGAATTTAACATTTTGTAAGCTCCTAATGACTATCTAAATGGCTAAGCCATATGCACACACACACCAAAATGCATGCATTTTTTGTAGTGCACCAAAATGATAGAGGGTCACTTTGCCCACAACTGAACCATCTAAAATGCCACATCTCTAAGGCAGGTAGGTAACTCGACATTAGCAGTCAAGCACCTTTCCCCACTACATTATCTCTAATGACATAAAGATGCTCCGGGAAGCAAGCTAGTCAAGAACAATTTAATATTTGTAAATGAACGACAAATTTCCATGGTAAACTCCCAGGTGTCATTATAATGAACATGCATGAGACGCAGCTATTGCCTGGCCTGTACTGATGCCTTCAAAATAGCCTTATCAGAGAGTCAGACTAAATAAATTACTTTGAACGCCACTCCGAACCCTGGAATGCTATTATTCAATGGGCTAGGAATACATAAAAAACACAGCAAGCCAAATGGAAAATAAATAATTGACAGAGATCTATTCAGGGTATTTGCTCAAAAGTTTGTAGCAAGGGTCAAGGCTGTGACTTTATATTTCATAAGCCACTTTCTTTGTCCTGGCATAACTGCTTTCATCTGTTTAATTTTCTTTTTAAAACTGGCTTAGATTCACTTGCCAGTTTAAACTTGCTGGTTTATTTCCCCAGATTCTTAATTTTCAACTTGCTCAAATAAATCTCTTTCTTGCCTTTCCAAACTAGTTTAACCAAATCTCTGTCTCCTTTTTCTGTAGACATTATGTTGCAGTTTGATTTTTCAGTATCTCCAGCTTTCCTGATTGCAATTACTGGCTACTCTGTGCCTTCATAATTTTAATTTCAGCCTCCACTTAAAAAAAGAAAGAAGTGAAAAAAAAGGATGATATTTAATCCTTCCAATTAACATTTGCAAGAGCAATCATTCCATGTCTACAGTCTGTGTGGGACTGGGGGAGAAATACAGGGCCACATTACATCATACAGGGGCTAGAAAGAAACACTTTGAGCCTGTCACTGGGGACATTCCCTGAAAAACCAGAATGTCTAGTCACTTTGACCTACAGCAGAAAGTATCAAATAACTGAGACAAGTGCTAGTTCAAACAACTGATCATCATTAGGCCCTAACACAGTTGCTGGGTACATGGGGCCACATTCAAACCTACTAATTAAAAAGCAGTCCGGGAAAAGAGAACAATGGATGCCTCCACCCCTTTCCCTTTTCGGTTTTATTCTCCCCTGACACGTTCTCAGGACCTGAGAACTTAGGTAACAGCATTCCTCGGCCAGTTTGCAGAATTCCCCACTTGCAAAATCAGCAGAATCTTTTCTGCTGGAGAAAGGTGAAACCACTCACTCCTCTGCCTCATGAGCTGCTGCAGCCAGGAGCCAGACTCCTGACAACCTGGTGGGTGAGGCCTATTTCCTGCCAACATGTTTATAGTTTGCACAGAGAAAATGATAGCATTTTAGTGGGCAAAAGAAAATCCCTGGTCGGCAAACAGGCACCCTTCTATACAAACAGTTGTTGTAAAAAGCGGTTGAAAACTTGAAGCTCACCCGGCCCTGCTGGTTGGATCAGATGAACAGGTAAATCAAGGCAGTGATTAAAAATATGGTAATAATAAAAGAGCTCATATCTTGCTGCCCTAAATCTATGGCAGTCCCTGTATTAAATAGTTTTCATGTGCTGGCTTATTTAGAAGCTGTGGGAAGAGCTTCAATTAATATCTTTATCTTCCAAAAAGGAAAGTAAGGCACAGAGATATTAGAAAGTCAGTTCAAGGTCACAGAAGTAGAAAACTGCCATGCTGTTGAACAACATACCATATGCTCCTCTTCTGCACCATCTCTGGCCAGACTTTATTTCTGTATCTCTTTTCAGAATGACTGCAGTAAGATGTCCTTGCTTAAAAGACACAAAAATCAAGGTCCAGTCAACTGTCCTATACTTATTTGCATAAAGGCATATAATTTTCAAAAATCAACACACTATTTCATCCGGTCCCCACAACACCTTACAGGGTAGGGGAGGTAGGATTATTTATTTGTTTCTAAATCCATTAGAAATCATGTTCAGTGACCAAGCATTCCCCATGATTAAACTTTTAGAAATTTCTTAATTTTTTTTTCAAAGCAGTAATTGTTAAGATAGAGTAAGCCAACAACTTCACCCATTAGAGGAAGGAAAACAGACATGCCCCTCTGTCTGGAGCAATGTCCGAATGTGGGATGGGAGAGGAAAAGTGCATTTTAAAACCACAGGGACCAGAGCCAGCACCACCCGCAAGAAGCTTGGAGACTCCCAGGCACAAAGAATGTTCTGGGTGTTTTCTCTGCTTGGTCTCTATAGACTTTTGAAAAGTAGGCCCAAATACAGTATGTGCCCCTAAAAGATAGCCATTTAGGAAGGTGATATTTCCCTAAATTTCCACTTTTCTGCTTTTCATTCTAAAGTACAATAAAAACGTTGGCTCCACAGTTCATCCAGAGCAGCAATCAAACCCCTGTTCTACTACTACCAGCAGTAGGACCTTAAGGTAACTTACCTGTCCGAGTTAAAATGTTTTCATCCTAAAAATTAAAATATTGGTCGAAAAGATCAAATAAGATAATAGATATTAAATGCTTACTATACTTATAAAGCATTAAAGAACACAATTCTCTTTTCTATCAGTTATTACTATTTGCTCTGGATGAATAAGGTATATCTGGTAAAATATAATGTTTTGGAACTTTCAAAGAGCCTTTATAAAATCCCATACCTGTGGTCCCACTGGGTCACATAGCATCAGAGAACTGACTATCTCATGGTTTTGGAATGTGCTTAAAACTGGGAACAACAGATTGGGACAATCATACGCTTCACTGTGTCAAAAATTACTCATTTGGTAGTTCCCCCAGGATTTTGTTATTTGAATAATCTTGCTTAGTATTTTAATAGATAACCTAAAAAGTACATTTTAAAATGCCTGCCAAGGGCCAGGGATTTAGCACTTTGGTTCCGCTGCCTGCC